GAATTCATGGTGTTTTGGCTGGCTGGCTTGGGAAGTGTAGATTCAGTCTGGAGAGATTTCTGTCTGAGAGGTTGAAGTTAATAAATGCAACACAACTGTAACTGTACTGTCTTGTGGAGTTCTTTGGGCTGAACCTGACAATAACTAACACCTTGAATTGGACCCAGAAGCAAACTGGCACCCAATGCAGCTCCCACAGTAAAGGTGTAACATGTGCCATCTTTGGGGTACCTAAAATTGCCCATGTGGCTGCATTTTGAATCAGTTGTAGCTTCCGGATACTCTTCAAGGGTAGCCCCATGTAGAGCGCATTGCAGTAGTCTATACGCTTTTAACATATGTTTGCTCTTCCTTACTAGAACCCTGACACTCCTTGGCTTGGTTTGCCAAGGATGGATGCAAATGGGATTGGGGAAATTGTGGGTCGTAAGCTGTGTGAACCAGTCCACTGTGTGAAACATGTTATGGGTTCACAATGATTGTTTCCTTGTTAACCCAGTTATAGGTTTCAGCAGGTTTGGTGAAACCAGCACGGGTAGCACCAGGGGTAGAGATGGAGCAGTGTTCTTCAAATGTGGGCAGTTCTTACTATTAGATGCTGCAAGGGTGCAAAGTGTGAGTTTCCAGTGTGAATCCAGGCTTTGGGGAGATCAGAAAATATCAGCATACAACCTCCATGTAAAGAAAGTCAATCTTTAGTAATCAGTTACTAAGGATAGAGGAATTGTCTCATCATTATTTATTTAGATAAGATTTGCTATTTCACCTTTCACAACAAAGATCAGTTTAGGAAAACTGCAATAAGAATATTTAAACCAACTATTGACAAGCCTTAAAATGTAAAAGAGCAGCAACCAGCAATGTCTAAGTCGATCAGCGAAGCAAAATTTACAGCAGATAGCATTGGCCTTCTTAGAAAAGGGCCCGCTCATTATTTCACGTAATAATAGATTGGGCATCATAATTTAAGTGACCTTTAAAACTCATCTAAAACCAAATGGAAGAGATGCCCGTAGCAAATAAACAGCACTGAGAAATGAGAATCGACCGCAGCGTTCTCCCTTTGTGCCTGAGATACCTACATGCAGGAGAGTCCGCAGGGTGTGGTTAAAAAAGTCAACATGGCGGCCTTGATGGTGCACCCATGGGATGCCCATGAAAAATGGGCAGAGCTTTGATTACACTGTTTGCCTTGTTCGACCATTCCCTGTGGACGCTCCTGCTTGAGACCCGTGGGCCACGGTGGGGGCTGTAGTTCTCCAACGAGCAATTCCTAGTCCGTGGACATGTGACAATTAGTGTAGCAAAGTATCTTCTCTCTTTGTACCATGAGCATATATGAGCATAGATATGATTTTTATTGGAACTTTTAAAAAAGAAGATAAAAACGAATACAAACTCATATAAAGTAAGGAAGAAAAAAGCAAAAGAAAGAAATCAAAGATAAAGCTAAAAGTGCAAGAAAGGGGGGGGGGGAAGGAAAAGAAAAATAGAAAAGAAGAAAAAAAGACACAAAGGAGTAGCTTCCAGTCTTCTTTACCGCAGTAAATTATAAATTTACCTCTTACTCTATGGTTACAACATAATCCTCTTCTTTCTATAATCTACCCTATCTAATCATCAAAGCCATGAATCACAAGTTCATTTTTTTTTCATTTTTATGCAAAAAAGTCCGAAAGAGGTTTCCAGTCACCAATAAATAAATGTAGAGAGTGTCTTTTCTCTAATCAAAGAAGTTAATTTATCCATCTCAGCAAGATCTATCAATTTCACCAACCATTCCTCCATAGTGGATGGATGGTGTTGAATCTTTCTACCTCTGTGCATATAATATTTTCTCCCAATTTTCCTGTTTCCTGCTCCTCTTGTCTGGGTTCCCCTATGGATCAGCCTGCTGCTATCTGTCTATGCCAGTGTTTCTCAGCCTTGGCAACTTTAAGATGCATGGGCTTCAACTCCCAGAATTCCCCTGCTGGCTGGGGAAT